CTGTCCCTCGCAGTACTCTGCCATGCTGTCTTCAGTCTTCTGGGATAAATAAAGCCCAGCGTCACCTAACTCAGGAGACAGAGGACATACTGTGAGTACAGGGTGTCATTGTCCCACTCACATCACCCCAGGCACATTGAATTCACAGTATAAGTGTGCAGAGAGCGGTGCTGGGTACAAAGGGTCTGCACCACTCTCAGCATCATCCAGGACCGCCCATTGCTGGGGAGATCAAAAAAAGGAGGACCCTGGGAGTCCCGTGACCCACCTGAAGACTTCTGGAAAAGGCAAGTATAAAAAAAAGGAAAACAAACATACAGCATGGGGAGAGAATGGGCTTTAATCACCTGCTCCGCCCTCAGCAAAGCAGTGTACCTGTAGTCAGGGTGGGCATGCAGGCGCTTCTCTTGCATCTCTCTCTCTCATTCTTTGTTAGGGTTTTTTGCTGCCTGTGATATAGTGTCCATGACAGCCGGCATCCAATCAGCTTCTGGGCTTCCTAAGCTTCTACAAAACGTGTTGTAGAAACAAAAGTAAGCCACATGATTCTGAAGAGTGTTTACATCAAGAGTGTTGTGACATCACAAGTGACATCATCGCACTTCCTGTTAGTATGGTGGCTCGGGTAGAACAGTTGCAGCTCTGTCCTTCTTTCCCATACACCAGTAGATCACTTCTATAGTGATTCATTGCTGGCTGATTGCAGCCAGCAATAGCCCACTATTAGACATGATCTGCTACTTCTGGGCCAAATCTGATCTCCAATGATCAAATCCAGACCCCCAATAAAAGAAAGTGAAATAAAAAAAATTGTAAAAACAAAAATAGATAAATAAATATAAATAAATAAATAAAGCAGGTGATTATTTCTATAGTGACCTATTGCTGGCTGCAATCAGCCAGCAATAGGCCACTATCAGAAATGATCTGCTGCTTCTGGGACAGAGTCAGAGGATCAAGCAGGGTCAGATACTGGAACAATCAGGAATCAACGCTGGATACTAGCGGAAAGAACTCTCAGCACTGAGTGCATGCAGGATGCCAGTTTAAATAGGCCTTTTGGCGCCATGATTAGATATATGCACCTGCATGCCGTTACGAGCGCCGTTACGGGTGAACGCACGCATCAGCGTCCGAGTGCATGCGCACGATTACGTGCAAGCACAATAGCTCTCACAGTACCTGTTCTATGACTGCTTGCTGGGCTTACCTGACAAGAGGAAGGAGGAGTGTCTTGCCTTGCTGTGTCTTTGTGTTAATGGAGACGCATACAGCACATTTCCCCTCACTTCCTGTTGTGGCTATCGGACAGGAAGTGAAGGGAAATCTCCCCAATGGGACACAGATGGCAAGTCTGTGTACTATTTATTATGTCTAATACTATTTATGTATGTCACACTATTTATATCTTGCATAATAGCACACACAAGGGTGGCTCCATAGGACCTTTCAAGGGAAGGAGCCACCCTAAAACAGGATATCCGAACCAGTGCCCAGGGGACCAGGTAATTCTGCAGCAAACTAAAAAACTTTTAAACATCAAGAAGCAGCATCCAGTGTAAGTGATTTCATCAGCATTTGAAAATGTTTTGACTTTAATATCACTTTAAGATTTCATTAATTAAAAAAAAAGGACCCCAGAGTTCCGAGCGGCCTGTCAGAGACTTTCAGTGTCTGCTCTGTAGCAATATCAGCCGACTTTATCTGCTATCATTACACCGTGCTCCCTAATGATCCCATCATTTCTTGTTATGTCAACAAGACCCGGAACATGCTACAGATTTACTGCCAGGAGAGATCAGAGGAGACTATCGCCGTACGGATCTGATGCGGCTCCTGATCTTTATCTTTCTCCAGTTATTTATTGCCACCGTACAGTGGATGTCATTTATCACTGGGCCGGGCTTGTGTACTCCGGCATTGGTTTGTGTCAAAATTGCTTTTATTCCTCTGTACAAGTCAACAGAAAGGCAAAAGCAGCCCAGAGGGGACTCAGAAGTAGGGACACCCCCGTGTTCGGTTTGTATTCGAACATTAGAACCGCCGAAATGTTCGAGTACAAACTCGAACTCAATGCAAGTGTATGGGGGGTGGAATGTTCGACCCCCATACAGCTGCCGGTACATGTGGCCTGTGTCCCTTCAAATCCCCGCTGTTCTCCCCGCCTGTGTTGGCGGAGGCAGTGGGGATACAGACCGCTGCATTGCTCCGCTGCCCCCGTACCTCTGCTGCTGTCTTCCCCTGGTCCGTCGGCTTCTCCGTTCCCCCGTCCGGCCGCGTCACCTCTGCTCCACCCCCCTGCCTCCTCTTCATTGCAGGTTGGGAGCCATACCCAGCCTGCTATTGGATATTGTAAAATGCAATAGCCAATAGCAAGCTGGCTATTGCACCCGTCCACTGCCTGCTGTCAATCAGCATGGGGGGACCTGATAGAGAACTTTCTCCTTTAGGCCCCTCCTCCGCTGAGCCCTGATTGGGCAAAGTCTTGTACCTGACCTGTGGTCAGGTGCAAGACTTTAACAAATCAGAGCTTCAGTGGGCATTTTGCATTATGGAATGTCCGCGGTCGAACAAACTGCTAACATCCCATAAAGTTCGTCGTTCGGCGAGCGCTCCAACTGCCGATGTTCGGATCGAACACTCGGCCCATCCCTACTCAGAAGCATCTCAAATGCAAGTTAAAATAGAACTGAAGCCATTTCTTTTGTTTTGGATAGACTAAGGGAGGGTCATAAGTAACCCCTGTCAGCTTTTGTTTTGCCATCTGTGTCCCATTGGGGAGATTTCCCTTCACTTCCTGTCTGATAGCCACAACAGGAAGTGAGGGGAATCTGTGGTGGTCACCAGAACAGGTGGAAGATTTCCCATCTATTCCTGTTCTGGCGACAACCCGAAATTTACATTGTATTAAAGGGGGAAAAAATAATACATGTACCCTTCTTCATAAAAAAGATGGCGGGTGCAATGCTCTGCCTCCTGCAGATTCTCTCTTCTTTCTCCGTGTGTAGCTCGGACATTCAGGGGAGGAGAAATGAATGGACTATATGGAGTGATATATACATATATAAATAAATAAGTGTGTGTGTGTGTGTATATATATATATATACATACAGGTGAAACTCGAATAATTAGAATGTCGTGCAAAGTTCATTTATTTCACTAATGCAACTTAAAAGGTGAAACTAATATATGAGAGAGACTCATTACATGCAAAGCAAGATAGTTCAAGCCGTGATTTGTCATCATTGTGATGATTATGGCTTACAGCTCATGAAAACCCCAAGAACCCCAAATCCACAACCTCAGAAAATGAGAATATTACATGCAATCAATAAAACAAGGATTGTACATAGAACAATATTGGACCTCTGAAAAGTACAAGCATGCATATGTACTCAGTACTTGGTTTGGGCCCCTTTTGCAGCAATTACTTTTGCACGATATTCTAATTATTCGAGTTTCACCTGTATATATATATATCTTCCAGCCAATCTGACCACAGTGATTTACAGCTCTATCAGCCTAAAGATTGGGAACAAACATTGAGTACTATATGTATCAGTATCTGCATAGCTGATAAATTTCGCCCTCTTGTGGCTAAGTAGGATTATGACAGTCTGTATTTTATCATCTGAAGGTAATAGGGTATCCATGGCCAAAAACTACAAATAAATCTGTATTTCTACATTGAACTTCCATAAGTTCTATCCCGCTCCTAATAACCAGATCCATCTAGAAGTTTGTAAACTTACTGAAGATACCAATAGGATGGACTTCTTCAATGCACTCAGCCCTGTGAATATGCATGTTGCCATTTATTTTTGTCACCACGCTCAGAGCCTGCCCTCTGAACTATGACTCGTCTGAACAATGTAACATCATCATTGCTTGCTGGAAGCAATGCATTATGGAATGTGTAGTCCTGAGAAATGGAGATTGCATCACATGAAGCAGCAGGGAAGGAGACGCAAAGCACGCTGGGAATCCAGGAAGTTGTTGGAAGTGATGGGCAGACGGAAGGCGGCGCTCACTACATAAAAGGGATTTTTCCAAGTAAGCTTTGATTGCATTATCAAATCAATGATCAGAGCCATGTTATTGTACGGACTGGTTGTTTGCAGTACAGAGATTTCACCATGCAACTACAACTCCTAGCTGAACTGATACTCCACAAAGGAGAGGAGGCAGCAGGACTGGAGTAGGGAACATGTCATTCTTGTTGCCACTGTTGGAAATACAACAGCATATTCTGATTGTATTACTGACTGCAGTTTGTCTTTTAAACTGTAGATGGCGCTGTAGTGCAATGTTAGTCAATGTTATGTGCATGCTTATCTATGATACACAGGAAGTTCTTTCTCTATGTTTTCCTTCACAATGCTGTATACATATGTTTAATGTTCTTCTAAGCAAGTAAAACTTAATTCAGCATTCCTCAAGATCTCAGTGCTTTATCTAAACACATAACCAACAGTCACTACTGTCACTGTTATTGTCATTGCCACAATTGCCCATTTCTTACTAGCATATCGTCAGGTTTGCCCTTATGTTGCTCTTATGTTGTCAAGAATGCCCATATGTTGCACTCATATTGTCAGGATTTTTTTTACAAGGCAATATACTGTATGTTCCATTTCTTTCGTGTAATACCACATTATGGCCACAAGATGGTGCTGTGGAGCATAGGAAACAAATACTTCAGTGCTCCTCGTCGCCATCCAATGGCCATTATTGACATCACATGGAAAAATAGCATTGTGATGGTAATTATGAATCTCTTTGTCCAGTCACTTTGATTTCTCCTTTTTCTCACGACTACTGTAACACCATTATGAGAACGGTGTGACTAAGCTGGAAAAAGTCATTGCCAAACCTGAAAATAGCAGCTATGAGAGTCACAAGGTCTCCACTATAGAGGCACTTCCTGTTTTTCTTTAACTTTGTTAGTATCAGACAGAACCATTGAGCCAAGTACAGACAGACAGCGTAGAAGTCGAAGATGAGGACAATTCTATCCCTGCTCATGTTCTTCATCATCCCTCTGAGTGGCGGTAAGTCTCCCTGTTTGGGTCAATGCAGTTTTACATTTGGGGATTTGCGCAGTTTGGCCGCAATCTTCACAGGCTCATGGCCAGAAATAAGGAACAGCCTATAATGCGACCAATATTTGGAGGAATTAATAACCCAGCCCCCTTTTCTTTAAATGGGTGGGCTCATCGCAACAGCCATATTGTCATGTGTGTTTTAGCTGTAAGAAAGAGCTGACAATTCTTTGTAGCCCAGCTTCCCATGCCTTTTGTCTGGTTAACTGTAATGTCTGCCCTATATTGTAAAGCGCTGAGCAAACTGTTGGCGCTATATAAATCCTGTATAATAATAATAATATAAATATATAAAGACTTCAATGGGGTTTGCTGCAAAGTTCATAAACTGTTCATGAATCCAACCCAGACAGAACACTTATCCCTACTCATCTGACTGCACTGTCATCTGGCATTATTATTATTACCATACAGGATTTATATAGCGCCAACAGTTTGCGCAGCGCTTTACAATATAAGGAAGACATTACAGTTACAATACAAGACAAGATGGTGAGGAGGGCCCTGCCCCTGAGGGCTTACAATCTGAAAGAGGAGGGGGAAATGATACATGAGGAGGTAGCTGCGTGCGGATGAATTATTTGAGAATGTGATGGTTGAGCGGTTAGGTTGCGGTGGGATAGGCTTCCCTGAAGAGATGAGTCTTTAGGGAACGCCTAAAGGCAGTCAAGGTGGGAGATAGACGGACAGGTTGGGGTAAAGAGTTCCAGAGGATGGGAGAGACTCTAGAGAATATTCATTTTGGTGCTTTTGTGCTTCTTGGCTTCAAAAACTCCCATCTCCCTCTTCTTCTTCTCTGTGTCATGATGCAATGGACATTGTCCTTTGTGCTGAAAAAGGGACTTTATTGTTTGTTATGGCAAATAAGTATTGGATAAAATAGGGGGAGGGGCATTAATGTGGCAGATGAGGTTTAATGTCGATAAATGCAAAGTAATGCACTTTGGAATTAAAAATAAACAAATGGGTTATACAATTATGGGTATGCCGCTGGGGAAGTCAGAAATGGAGAAGGATTTGGGGGTCATTGTAGACCACAAACTGAAAGGTAGCTTGCAGTGCCAGGCTGCTGTAAACAAAGCTAGCAGGGTCTTGTCCTGTATTAAAAAGGGGATGTATTGCAGGGACAAGTCTATAATTTTGCCACTTTATAGATCATTGGTTCGACCTCATCTGGAGTACGCGGTCCAGTTCTGGTCACCAGTACTAAGAAAAGATGTCCTTGAGTTGGAAAAAGTCCAGCGAAGGGCAACCAAACTAATTAGGGGTATGGAGGACCAGAGCTACGAGACGAGGCTACTAAATTTAAACATGTTCACATTAGAGGTGAGGAGATTAAGGGGGGATATGATTTCCATGTACAAAATGTTTAATGGTGGTAGCAACATTAGCGATAAACTGTTTAAAATTAACTCCGTTACAAAAACTAGAGGCCACCACCTAAAATTGGTGGAAAAAAAATTCCAGCACAAGGGGCGAAGGGGGTTCTTCACAGTAAGATCAGTTAGGGTCTGGAACTCACTGCCACAGGCGGTGATTTCAGCAAATAATGTGGAATTGTTCAAGAAACTTTTGGACGATTTCTTAAGGGACCGTAATATACAGGGGTACGGGTACTCCTAGAATGAGATCCTAATAGGTTGGACTTGATGGACTAATGTCTTTATTCAACCTCAAATACTATGTAACTATGTATGGCCTGGTGGGAGTTGGGGGACCTCATTTCTGCACAGGGGCCTCCCGTTGGCTTTGCCCACATCTGAATTTTGTTCATAGGGCAATATGTGTGCGATGCCGAGAGTCCTCCGAAAATTCATTCGTCAGGGTCACGTTCAGACTGTTGCACAAAACGTACAAACAGCGATCTTGTAATGGTATTGGGCCTCCCGACCCGGCCAGTTAGCCCACCCAGTGTTGCGCCCTTTTGGGGTTTTTTGTTTCAAGTTCAGACTGTTGCAGTACTTTGACGAGCAGTATGTTGCACTCTGAAATGTGCTGCCCACGTTCCGGAACACAGGTTTTCATGAACCTGCAGGCTTTTTGTCCATGCAGTACACAACATCTGTGTGGTGTTGTGCACTGGCTAGGTGCATTGGGGTACCAGCAGTGGTGTATTTTGGTTTTGTGCTGCCCTAGGCAAGACTAAACTCGGGCACCCCCCTCAATAAATGTGCCCCACCCCATCCTGCTTAGGACCTGTCAGTCACTGGATGCAGCGAACACGGGGTCTCAGGTGGGCTGTGCAGGATTTATGGTGGGCTGTGCAGGATTTATGGTGGGCTGTGTGGGGTCTATGGTGGCCTGTGCAGGGTCTCGGGAGAGTTGTGCATTATCTCAGGTGGGCTGTAGGGGTATCAGGTGGGCTGTGCAGGGTTTATGGTGGGCTGTGTGGGGTCTCAGGAGGACTGTGCGTAGTCCCTTTCCCTTTCTTACCTGGAGCCCGAAGTGCCATCAGTACCAACAGAATACATTGCAGTCCCCCGCCTGCTTCCGGGACATCCCGCCATCTGATCACATGCTATGGCCAGCCCAGAGCCACCCGCTGCTTCTCCTCCACCTCCTGTACAAAGCCAACCATACCACAACTCACTGGGCCCTCCCCTCCACCGAGCAGCTCTCGGAATAGGCAGCCACTCATAGGAACTTGCGGCCACCTAGTTTGCCGCATTAGGCAGCCGCCGCTGCCTGATTCTGTGTCGCCCAGCCTCGGCCCACTGGGCAAGTGTCCAGTGTGCGCAAAGGCAAGTCAGGCCCCGTCCACCTCATTGATTTGGGGCTACATTTTCTGCTGCCCTCTGAAAAGTGCCGCCCTAGGCAAATGCCTAGTTTGCCTTGCAGTAGATACACCTCTGGGTACCAGTCAAAATGAATGATGTTACAATGCAAATGTAGCTTCCCCTAACCCCTGGGCATATGAGGAGGACGCCTGGGAAGAAGAGGAGGACCCAAGGTGGCTCATGGGCTAGCATTTCAAACCTCAGGGTGGAATCCTTGACTCTTTATGGGTAAAAGAAAATTGAGTTCCTCCTAATTTAGCTGGCCGTCGACTGCCAGAGGTGCCGCGCGTGTCGGGATCCTCTGGTCACTCGCTGGCCAGCTAAATTAGGACCCCACCTGGAGCTCCTCCCACCGGACCAGCGCTGACTCGCCGCTGCTCTCCCGCACCGAAGGTAAGGGGGAAAAAAAAAAACAAAAGCGCAAGCATCGGGGCATTTTTTCGGGGGCAAGCACTTGTCAAAATGCCCTGTTTTTTCCACCCTCACCCTGCAGCGCCCTCAGGCGGCCGCCTGACTTGCCTTGCGGTAGCGCCGGGCCTGGTTCCAGCTACTTGAGAACATTTAAAGGTTGTATTTTGATCAGTAAATTTCAGGAGAGAGGGCTAAGGTACAGGATACCCAAAAATAAACAAAAATGGTTTCTTATATACTGACTTCCAGACTTCTAATAACAATCAATGTGGGCAATGGACCTTTAGGACAAGACGAGCAATCAGTATTCGAAGACTGTTAAGCACAGTCTTAAGTACCTTTTAGGTGGAGCCGCTAGAACTTCATACATTGTTTACTGGCAGCAGCTTGTACTCAGCTCTCCAGGACACTATACAGCTGTGAAGTGTCTCCTCAAGATCTTCCTGCTCCACTCCTCCTGGATGAAACCTCCAGCAAAGCAGCATAAAATCCTCCAGGCCCCTAAGACACGGGCTCACTATCAGCATCACCCTACCCAGGCAATATTGTCTCTTCTTGCTCTATCTGCTGGAAATCACACCCCAGTAATAAGACGTAAACCATGGTTTGAACTTAGACAGAACCCAACAAATTAGAGCTCACACTGACTACAGCCTAACTGCCCACTAAATATGGAATATAGACCCTCCAGTTATTGGCAGGGTTCCCATATCCCACACTTCCTTTTGTGCGTTATGGTAATACTTATTTTTTGCCTTAACATAACAGTTAGGGTTGCCACCTTTTCTTCAAGCGAAACCCGAACACCCTAGCGACGCACGGAAATTTTTGTGGGAGAATGAGCCGTGGCTTATTCATATGTAAATAGCGCCACCCATTCATATGTAAATATCACCTTTGAGACTATTTTCAGCGGGGGGCCAGTAGCCCCTATCGTAATTTTGGTTGCCCCTGTCTGCCTGACATCATGTGTCCGGGTTTCTGCTGCCATGAAACCTGGACACAGCATTCAAAACCCGAACTGTCCGGGTGAATCCTGGACAGGTGGCAACCCTAATAACAGTGCCCCCCAACCCACTGATACCCCTCCAGCCATCTGCTTCCACTCTTTTCTTCATTGCCACTGGGGCAACATACCCAATCCCTCAGTGTATTGGGCATCATGTGGTCTCCTCCCGTGATGCAGTACTGAAGCCTACTGGAAACCATTAGGCCCCAGTACTGTCAGATGTTGGAAGGGTGATGTAACTGCTCACTCGAGACTCTGGCACCAACTGATACCAGGCAATTTGGTGGCTTCTTTAATATCGTGACAATATATCCTCTATTCCAGTGCTTCTTAAAGTTTTCTTTAACCCAGCAGCAGTGGAGCACAGCTGCTGGACGTAAAGGTAAGGAGGGGACTTATTAGTACTGACGGACTGACCAACGCTGGGGGGAGCAGGGGGAGAAGAGGAGAGAGACAGACTGACCGACGCTGGAGAGAAACACTGACAGACGCTGGCGGAAGAGAGACACACCGGACCGACGTGGGAGAGAGACGCTGACAGACGCTGAGGGGGAGAGAAGGAGAGAGACCCGACTTACGCTAGGGGAGGGGGGAGACACTGACCGACGTTGGGGGTCCCTTAAAAATTTCCTCGGCCAAAAAGGGGTCACGAGTGGAGAAAGTTTAAGAAGGCCTGCTCTATTCCACAGACAAAGCTGACCGAAGATTGGAGTCCTCTTCTTCCTTTTCCCATCCATACATATGTTTTATGTGCTGTATTTCAGGAGTATCTGGAAATTCTTGGTCCATCCAAGTATCAAGAGACGTCATCGGTGAAATCGGTAAATCCGCGTCTTTGCCCTGTGTGTTTTCTCACCCTCACAAGAACCACCATGGTGGGCTAACGGTCATCTGGCGAGTCAAACAACCCCACGATGGAACAGTGGTCTTCAGGTGTTCCAGCGACCACGTTAACCAGCCTTGTAAAACCACCGCAAACTACATGAACAAATTCCAGCTCATCGGAAACCCACGAAATAACAATATCTCCATCAGCATAGGGAACCTGACCTGGGAAGACAGTAATCGGTATTATTGTCGCATCGAGCTGTCCAGTGACCGGCACGACAAATACGAGACAAAATCCGGCACATTGCTTCATGTATCTGGTAAGATTTCTGCTTCTATCATATTTAGAGAGACGCGGTTTGTTCTGACCTTTGGACTTGCACTGCCCTGACAACACAGAGGGCCTATGAACTCTACGATAGGAACTCTATCAGTAGGACATATGTGCTTGAGTCATGAGGTCTTCACACAGAATCTGAGGTCATTATGAGAGGGCGTCACTCTACCCGTTAGATTTGTAATAGATTTCTCCAGGATTCCTGTATACCTAGGTAGATGGTAATAATGTACGCTCTGCATATTTTCTCAGCCCCTCCCAGGATCATCAACATCTCCGTGGGATTTGACCACAGGCGGGGATACCACGCAGTCTGTATTGCAGAAGGAGAACCTGCCCCCTCTTTGGTTTGGATCGACCCTCAGAACCATTACCAGGACATGCTTCCAAGCAGCTCAACCCTAAAGCATCAGATGGCCACAGAGCTGCATTACCTGCACCAGGATGGGAAGTATACCTGTGTGGCCACCAACAGCCATGGCAGAACAGAGGGCTCGGTGTACTTCTTCAAGTTCAGGCCAGAGTCCAACAACAGCTTTGCCTATGTGACGCTGTGGGCGGCCCTTGGAGCCAAACTGCTGATGCTGCTACTGATGTTTGCTGCAGGAAGTTACTACAGCAAAGGTGAGCAGCTCTGTCTTGCTAAAGAGGAGTGTTCAGTCATTTTACAGAACTAGGACCTCCTATTCACAAATATAAATTGCATCTGAAGTTTCACTAAGAGGGTTATTCGCTAAAGGGGTGAAGAGTTTGGAGAAGTGAACAATCTAGGACAACATCGCTAAACTGGAGAATGAGTCGAGTTGGAGAATGTTTCCAAATCAGCTATGTTCTCCTAGATTGTTCACTTCTCCGGCCTTCTCCTAACCCTTCACCCCTTTTGTGAATAACCCTCTTAGATTTCTCTTAGTCCTCCTGTAAAGTCCAACAAATGCCTGTTGATCCTGCCCGTGATGTTCATCTAATGCAGTTTCCTGTGATGGTGTGGCAACAATGCTGCACTGCTCCTGCATTCAGAGGAGAGCTCTCATGTAGGTTGTGTCTGCTTGCACTATAGTGGGAAGAAGAAAATGCAGTGGTCGTGGCTTTCAACATCGTCACAGCTGCTTCACAACCCTGTAGCTTGTCAACCAGCACCCGGCCACACCTAGCCTTGCCCATTGCTTTCTGGATTGACAGTTCTGCCTGGGCTGTCACTACACTATTTGCCACCTGCCACCTGTCACTACACTATTACACCCCTGCTGGCAGTATATGTTCATTCTGGGGGGAGGGGTGTATGTTGTAGGTGAGTGGTTATCCCTGGAGGAAAGGGTTTGTGGGGTGCTGGCAGTAAATGGTCATCTTTTAGTTGGGTTGCCAGGTGTTGGAGGTGGATGCTTGTTACCGGGGGTTGTGTGTTCGGTTGGTGGATGCTCATTACCTCTGGGTCCGGCGGCTTTGTCCGGCATTCCACCCAGCTCTCTAACATCACTGGTTGCCAGGAACTGGGCGGGATACCAGCCAGAGCATCATTATCAGCACCAGTGATGTCAGTGAGCTAGGCAGGAAGGCGGACAGAGCGTGGCAGGTTGCTAAGAGCTCTTAGCAACCTGGGACGCTCTGGCCACTCCTTCTGCCCCCACACACACTTATGCCCCCCCCCCAACATGACCCAATGAGATGCTGCCGGAGGCAACTACCTCAGCCTGCCTCAGAGACGGCCTTGAGCACTGCCATTGTTGCTGAAACTCTCCCACTGTGGGCTGCAGTGTCTGGGTGGGGGAACATGTGAGACACAAATGGAGGACTTGGCTCGGGCAGGGAACATAAAGAAAGTGTTTATTTGTATTTACTAGGCTTGAGCATTACATACAGTAGCCTTCAGTTGTACTTTAAGGTAATTCCAGATCCAATCACCACATATACCTGCAAAGCAGTGGTCACTCTACAAAGGACATATTGTACCTCAGTAGAGAGACCACTGTTTCCGCAGAGAGAGCAAGCATCCTTCTCTGCAGCACGCTGGCAGGGCACAGACCTTTTTGTTTACGCAGGCTGTGGCTGCTTTTCTAAAGACAACAAGACTTTGCACACCTTTTGTTATGTTACACTTGGTACGCATGTAGCAGATTTACCTTAAAAGTTCATTTGGGCTATAAATGCATTGAGGGGAAAATTATCAAAACTTGAGCAGACAAAATCTGGAGCAGCTGTGCATGGCAACCAATCAGCTTCTCTCTTTCATTTTCAAATCTTAACTGAACAAACTGAAGAGAGAAGCTGATTGGTTGCCCTGGGCAACGGCTCCAGATTTTGCCTGCTCCAGTTTTGATCAATTCCCCTCAGTGTTTTGAGACAAAAAAACAATCCTTTTACTTCGTATTTTCGATTTTTTAAATCAAACATCATTCTTGTCCAGCGACAAACTGATTCATAAATAAATGTTCTTGTATAACCATGTCATTTTTTTTCTTTCGTCGCCGCACAGACACAACAGAATCGATAGCCGGCACTTTTCCGTAAGTAGCAGCTGTTCATGTGGAGTCTAAATTGTAGGGGAAGTGAAAGCAGCAAAATACACTATTGAAAGTTTTAAACTTTTTTTACTTGCCAAAACAATAGATGGCCTTACCAGACAGACTAGCTAGGTTGGCCACCTTACTTTTCTCTTCTGCACTAAAGCAATAGACCTTGGTCACCCAGCCAGCTGATTGGACAGTGAAGGAGAAGCAGCACACTGATGAGGTTATCACTCTGCTTTTCCATCCTACAAGCAATGAAGCTGACATGTAGACAGGTGCAGGTTCTTATAATAATAGGTTATATGTAAACATCGATCTAATGATTTGAAATGAATACATAGCTTGGATACATATGGAGGTGGTTGCTACCTGTAAAAGCGGAGGTTGACATTCAGCAGAGACCACTGCTGTCCAACGCCAATTATTCTAATTGTAGGGCAAAGCAAACTTCTGCAACCTCAAAAGCTTTAAGAGGACTTACCATGCCTTATGCACTGTGTATGGAGGCGGCCATCTTGGTAGAGACAGAGTTGTGTTTTCTCATGTCAGAGCTGTCCCTTTAATGACCAGTGATCTGATGACTGGTGGGGTAATGATGAAGCAGCAGCAGGAGAGGTGGTGTAAACACACATCCACAGAACGGATGAAGCAGAAGCAGGGAGATCCTTGCATTGCAGGTCCTCAGGTGCAGCTTCCTCTCCAGCAAGGAGAACAGTGAGCAGCTTAGTAGTGACATCACCAAATCTCCCTCGAAATCCGGTGAAGCTAGCAGTCAGAGGCAGCAGTCCCTTAGATGCTCTCACACTGAGGAAACATTTCCTCAAAATCCTCTCACCAAGTTAGGAGACTGCAACATTGTAGCAAATCACAAAGTTTAAAAGGAGAACTATGAGGTTAGTGCTTTTCCCCATAGTTCTCCGAAGGGTAACGGGAGGACACAAACTAGCGTCCTCCCGTCACCCTAAGCTCAGTATACCGCGAGCTACAGCTCACGGTATACTGAGACGCCGCAGCTAAAACAGATCCTGACAATTATGCTGCGTGAGTGACAGCTGGCTCTGCCTATCTAGAGGCAGAGCCAGCTGTACCCGCCCCCTCCCCCGTCCGTTCCGCCACTCAGCGCTGGAGGATCGTAGCGGGGAGGGGGGAATCCAGTCACTCCCCTGTCACGGCAGAGAGCCGTGACAGGATCGAGAAGTGAGCGAACGCCAGTATGTGTTCGCTCACTTCCCGATCTACTGAGCCGGCCTGTGACAGTTTCATTGCAAAGCACTCACCTCATAGTTCTCCTTTAATGGTGCAGCAGGGGCCGCTGATCTGTGTCAGACATTTGTGAACAAAGCCAAGTACCGCACAGGCACCAGGATTTACATGATTGTTTGTATGCCTCTGTTGTAGGAGAGCCCAGGAATCTACCTATGAAAACTGCACCCAGATATCTACCCGAGGGTGATCAGCAGCACCCGAGGAGCGAGCTTACAGGAACACTCCAGTCTGTGACAACCTCTTCTCATCTACAAACAGTTCCGGATTTAAAGAGACATACTCAGCCTGTCTAGCTTTGAATTTTAAGTCACTTTACAATAAATGTGGAAATACTGGTTTATGGAACGTTACGTTACATGCACTTCTGTCTTTCTTGGGTTTTTTTTTTCTTTAACCCCTTCATGACTGAGCTTGTTTTTGGTTTCTGTTCGTAAATGACTGACACACTTTTGACATTTTTGCTGTGTGATTCTTCCACAGCAGTAATATACTTTCTTACAAAGTGCACCCACACATATTATATATTGTTTTTTAGAGGACAGATAGGGCTATATATTTATATCACATATGTGTGTCTAACGCCTCACTTAGGACAAATACAAATTAAAAAAAGAGGAAAAAACGTAAAAAAAAACTTTTTTTCCCAGTTTTGATTTGTAGTATTTTTTTTTAACAAAACCAGCACAGCTAAAAAAAAATGCAATACATACATTCATTTATTTGTCCCTTATTTTTAATTTTTTTACACTTTTCACTATTTTTTTTAATTTATTTACACTTTTCACTTTTTTTATACTGACAAATTTTATTTATTTAATTATATCAGGCAGTCATTGTGAATTAATCTCACTATTACTGCTTGATAAATTAATACATTTTTTTTTTTTTTCAGGCTGCTTCAAACTTCAGAACAGCCGATAATAAGTTAGTGACACTGATCCTGCAGCAGTTCAGGATTCAGCTGTCAGTGAATGTTTCAGAAAACTTAAACATTCTACTTTCAAGAATAGATACATTATGTGTCTAATACATAACATTTTGTATCTATTCTTGAAAGTCAAAAGATAAAAAAAAAAAAAGCCAGTATAGCTTGAGAGAGATATCTCTCGATCTATACGAGCTGTCAGAATGCCGGCAAAAGCCGACATGTGTGTCTGCTTTGCTGTGACTCTCAGACACCCGATATTAAGGTATCGGGTGTCTGAAAAAGGTTAACCCTTTCAGTAATGGATCTCTAGATAGTTAGACATCCATTACTGAAAGGTAACCGCTGATTCTCAGCGGTTAGCAGCCTTCTAGTGCAGCAAATAACTCGTCACGTACAGTGTACGTGACGAGTCATTTGGTCCCTTTGTGGCTGGACGTACAGTGTACGTCTCCCGTCACGAAGGGGTTAAAGGGTCATTGCACTTTCCTCGTTGAATTTGGGAAGATGGAAATTACCCCCTCCAATCTGCCCCCCTCTCCCTCCCCCCACTATACTTACCCGCATGGGCAGTACTATACACCCGCACTGGCTGTGGGGAAGGAGCGTTCATCCAAAAGGTAAATAGTGAGAGGGGAGCCAGATTGGAGGGAGTAATTCCAGTTCCCAGGTTCTAAGGTTTACTTTCAATAAAGTACTTTTTAAAAGTATTTTTTTGGTGTGGCATTTTCATATCTGTGCTTCTCCCATACCAGTTCCATGATTTCACTTTTACATTTACACTGGTGTGTTCATTGCTCATGGTAATATGGAGACCAGAGAAAGTGATTGAAGTGCATCTCTTGCAAAAAAACTTTTGGATAGAGTAGGAGCTGTGTCCCTTTGGGATGATTTCCGGTCCTGAGGATACAAAGAGTGAGAAGGAATGTCCTCTCAGATAGATGTCACCAGAAAATATTCCCCCACTGAAAATCTTTCTCCCAATATGTAGACCAGAGAAAGTGATTAAAGTGCATCTCTTGCGAAAACCTTTTTCTTTGTTTTTGATAGAGTAGGAGCTGTGTCCCTTTGGGGCTTTTGTCTTGGATAGAGTAGGAACTCTATCCCGTTGTCGCTTTTGTTTTGGATAGACTAGGCACTAGGGGCTTTGTCCCGTTGTGGTTTTTGTTTTGGATAGAGTAGGGGCTGTGTCCCCTTGTGGTTTTCGTTTTGGATAGAGTAGGGGCTGTGTCCCCTTGTGGTTTTCGTTTTGGATAGAGTAGGGGCTGTGTCCCCTTGTGGTTTTCGTTTTGGATAGAGTAGGGGCTGTGTCCCCTTGGGGTTTTCGTTTTGGATAGAGTAGGGGCTGTGTCCCTTTGGGTTTTCGTTTTGGATAGAGTAGGGGCTGTGTCCCCTTGTGGTTTTCGTTTTGGATAGAGTAGGGGCTGTGTCCCCTTGTGGTTTTCGTTTTGGATAGAGATGGGGCTGTGTCCCTTTGGGTTTTCGTTTTGGATAGAGTAGGGGCTGTGTCCCTTTGGGGCTTTTGTTTTGGGTAGAGTAGGGGCTGTGTCCCTTTGGGTTTTCGTTTTGGACAGGGTGGGGGCTGTGTCCCATTGGGATGATTTCCTGTCACTTCCTGTCCTGAAGATACAAAGAGTGAGAAGGAATGTCCTCTTCGATAGATGTCACCAGAAAATATGCCCCCACTGAAAATGTCTTATTCCTGTTCTGGTGACAACTGTATCATTTTGGATTTCTGATCACTTTTAGTTCCAGTGACAATGGCCATCGGGTCAGATAGAGAGGTTGAATCTCACCACAGGGCAATAAAATCTGACAAGGGTTCTAACCCTTTCCTACTCTATCCAAAACAATTTATCAACCCTGCATTAAAAGGACCGGTGAGGTCAACAAAATATGGGAGTGACCACTGCCAATATTATTTTTGAAAGTGCAAATCCCAGAGCTAAACCCAAGTCAGATCTTTTGCTCAGGCTTTATAGAAGAAATATGGAGTCGTTGGGAACAATGGAAGTGAAGGCAAATAGGATCATGTATGTGTCAGGAGAGAGAAGGCGGAGTCGCTGTAACAGTGGGCGTGGCTGATGTTCTCTGGTTCCTGCCCACTCTCAGTGTATACAGCTTGCGCACGGTATTGCTTTTGGTTCCATAAAATAATTTCTTATTTTTATATTAATGTAATACTATGATTAAGCTTTACTTATCTTTTGCTATTAAATGGTCTAATTTCCGTAAGTTTATAATAAATTAAATGAATTTTAAAAAAAATGACAAAAATAAAAATTAAATGTGGACATGTATAAGATTATATATATTTTAATTTTTTGTCTATCACAGAATACACAACAACGGCTACCAGACACAACTCAGCAGCTTAATGAATTCTCACCAACATCTTCACATTAAGTCACAGAAGGTAAAGGGCACCTGTCACCTACACAAGTCATGGAGGCCTTTTTTGTGCGGTGAACCAATGTTCATGAGAATGCAGCCTATCCACATAAGATACAGTGCTATGGCTGAGGCACCGATGTTAGGTGACGGGAACCCTTACCAAAAAAAAATAAAAAAACATAGAACTGCTTAAACTTTAACAATTAGTCTACCTAAAAAGTGATATTTCAGCTTTAGGTAGATGATGGCACATTAAGGTCACGGTCTCCAGTGGCAAAATCTCTCCAGAGTTCCCAGCTCCGCCTATGAGGAAGTCTCACTTACCCTGTTAGATACTTAAATCAGTTTTACAATATGGCGCCTTTCACTAAGAGTGCAGAGACTCTCCCCATTTAGCAGACGGGGGGCACAAAGCCAATGGAGAGACTGTGCTGCCGGAATCTTATGTACACCCAGCCGGTGGGTAATTCGGCCCACCGTAATCACCAACCATAATAGAAGTTTCATCTAAAAGGTATATACAGGCATTACAGGGTGCCTGGCATCGCTAAATATTTTTTTTGTCTTATAGAAATGTTTTATTAATTTAAAGTTGACCCATCCCACTATGACACGGATCACTCTGGAGCAATTAAATAGCTTTTTTTTGTTAGGCCCTAGGCACACGGGCATTTGTTCATTTCAGTTTGTAAGTGCTAGTCTGTAGCTACAGCCTGCGCTTCCATTGAGATCTGTATACAGGCAATCCCCGAGTTACAAACATCCGACTTACATACGACCCCTACTTACAAACAGAAACTTAATCCTCCTGTCCCAGCGCACTCATGACCGGACAAAAACCCATATCTAACTGGGTGGGTGCGGTGGTGACAACGGATGCCTCCGTGAAATGTAGATAGATGAAAGTAGTCACTCGCACTCCATGATATTAAAGTCAATGCTGTTTATTGACTGAGATAACACACATCTCCTTAGAGACGTTTCGAGACCATGGCAAAACAGAGGACGGGGCCGCTATCACTGTACAGCAGGGGGTCCCAGGCTGCTGCCAAAGTGTACCGCGCAGCATTTCAATAGTTGTAATGCTACCGCACTTGTGTCGTCGGGGGGTGCCCGCCTTTTTGGGGTCTGGTTCGTAGTACTGTACGTACATTACAGTAAGTTGGTTTTTGTTAGACGTGCAGATGAGGGGTGCCCGCCTCTTCTTCCGGGTCACTAAGGTTTTTACTGCTGTCTATATCCTCATTAGAAAGATTTAATCTCACTTCCTGTCCTTGAGGAACAGGAAGTGAGAGGAAATCTACCCCTGTAAGAGTTATCATGGGAAAAAGGTGTCTCCACTTAAGCTTTATCACCAATCCTTGTTTCCACGACAATCCAAAATGTTCATAATCCAATTGTCACAGGGACCTAAAGTGAGGTGAAATCTTCTGAGCAGGGGCACACACAGCAAAACAAACGTTACAGGGGGTTAACCCTTCCCTATGCTATCCAAAATGAAGAAAAAAAAAATTTAGGCGGGAGCTACACATGTTAACCACACACAAAAAAAAATCTTCTCAGTTATAATGCTTATCGGTTTATACATTAAATATACAATCACAACTAATATTATCAACACAGATCTGCACAATGTCATGAAATGTAAAATGTATAAAATGAATATATACTGTAATTACATATAATACACCGTGTAAGGATTATAAGACATCTGGTACGTAACACTCAAAATAAAAAGTGCACAAAAAGAAAAAACAGCAGTTTCAATGAAGATGCATAAAAAGTAGGCACACCTCCAACTATGCACCCGTATCTACATCCTTCGTGTTAAGGCGGCACAGGCACCGCTTGTGAACCTGGAGTTCCCG